CACCATCGGAGAAGTGGGGGCAGGAAGCAACTGTGTTAGCAGCAGCTGAGTCCAAAGAAAGGGCCAGGAGCTGAGGTGGAGAGGCCTGGCCGCTGAAGAAGCCCTATCAATGGAACTGATGGACAGAGGAGTGGGAAGCTGGCTGAAAGACTTGCAGAGAAAAAGAGGTGACTCATCAACAGCCACCACTTCCAGACACATTCATCCAGACTCAGTTGTGGAGCCATGAAGGAGCAGGGCTTGTAGGATTCGGTAAGGATGGAGCAGCATCAAGGAGTGATAGGAGATTCAGAGCACAGGGCAGGGCCCAGACCATGTCACCCTTAGGCAGGGACCCAGCCTCCTCACAGCTGACATCCTAGGCTGGATAATTCTCTGCAGCAGAGGCTGTCCTGTGTATTATAGGAGGTTCAGTAACATCTCTGTTCTCTCCGCACCAGATGCCAGGAGCAACCTTCTCCAATGTGGCAACCAACAAAACCAACTCCACATATTGTCAAATGTCCCCTGGGGAACAAACCATGCACCAAGGAGAACACGGGTTGGATTTTCAGCCTGCTGGCAATGGGAAGCCACTCAATAATTTACAAGGGAAGCAGTGAGATCAGCTGCAGATGGACACTTAGTGCTGAGTGGCGAACAGGGAGGCAGGGAGGCCAGTCGGGCCTCTGACATAAATGGGTGAAGACCGTGAGCACATGGACCAAGACCAGAGACAGAGAGTGACCAATCAGGCCAACAAGACACAGCACTGGAGGACAGACATGTGGCAGAACAGACATGTGGCAGAACTGTCTTGTCCACTTAGGTGGCTGTGGTGGGGGCCATCGCCCAGGACAGGGAATGCCAAAGGAAGAGCAGGTCTGCAAAAGAGCCGCCTTAACCCTAACGAGGGTGTGCAGTCATGTGAGGGGTCCAGGTGGGAGCCTCTGATGCTTGGCGAGCCAGCACTCTCGCAGTACACGCTGTTTGCCAGGCCCTTGGCGTATGCCCCCTCACCCAATCCCCTCTACAACCTCTGACTCAGCAGCTGCCGCCCCCACCTCATGAGGGGACCTGCTGCTGGAGTCCAGCGACAGCCCCAAGATTCTGCAGCTGGGAAGTCTGAAGCTGAGACCCCAAGCCCAGCCATCTGGCCCCAGGGCCCATCCTCTCACCCTCCCTTCTAGGACAGTGAACGAGAAAGTTTCTCGATACACAGAATGACAGCAGGTGAAGTCACAGGCACAAATGCGATCTCCTAGGGAAACTGTAGAAAGACAGAGTGAGGTGCTAGAGAAGCAATCTGTGTAAGTGGAGAGAAGCCAGAGAAAGAGGCAGCAGGAGGGACGAGCGGCCTGAGGGAGGTCGTCAGGCATGGGTGAGCAGGGAACTCCGGCCCAGGCAAGTCCGTGCCTCATGAACAAGGCTTTGGCATCAAATCGATCACCTCCCAATCCCATGTGGTCCCGCCTACAGCACAGTCAGAAGACTTCACAAAGTTAAGCAAAACTCACACCACATTTATTCATGATTCCTCTAGGACTCCAAGAGTTTGTGAAAGACACATTGTCCTTAATATGAACAGCAACCTAAGTAACATAAGAAATCATTCCTTTCAGCTAGGAAAGTTTTTAAAAACTTTTTATTCACATCCTTTCTTAGCAATGTAACATGTATGCAGTCTGTTTTGCATTTTGTGGATGGCACATGAAATATTGGCTCTTCTGTGTTTTGCAGCTGACAGATAAGAAGTCGTGCAGTCTCTTCCTAAAAGAGGATTTAGGAAACATGCACATGGAAACTGATGACTCTTCACTTGAAGGAGTTCCCAGAGCTTCAGGTGAGCCTTACACTGTACAGTGTTTGTTAGGCCCTCCTTATCATACTTTACAATTCTACACCCTAAACACAGACACTTAGTAGAAGATGAGTTCCCTCCAAGTACACAAACTCAAGACAAGTGTTAGAAGGGAATCATGATTTCCCAGCCAAAAATCAAAGTATTTCCAAACTTTAATGTGCATACAAATCACTTGGGGACCTTGTTAAGAAGATCGATCCAGCAGGTTTGCAGTGGCGCCTACACTCTGCATTTCCACCAAGCTCCTCTGGATGACATGATGCTCTGGTCTACACTGGCTGCTCAAACATAGTCTTTAGCCAAGAAGCTTTGCAGCATGTGGGAACATGTGAGACCTGCACGCCCGTCAGTGTGACCAACAGATGTAACTTTGCCTGCTGAAACAGACGGCTCTAGAACTCCACCTTCAATTTTCCTCTTTAACGTCCGCTGAAGACTGGACCTTCCCTCTTTCTGTGCCTCCAACACCCTAACTGCGCATGCCTGACATGAAATCCCTCCGTGTAGACCCTGGAGGGTTCCTTCTGGCGCTTCACCTGAAATCGCCACACCGGCCACAGCATGCCCATCACATGGGACTGGTTATGCTGTACATGTGAACCGTGCCCTCTCACCACACTCCCTTCTTGCTCTGCTTTATTCTATCGTGGCTGACACCTTGCCTGCCAGACCAGTCTCCACCGCCACCCTCCTGCTCACCTGGCTGGATGTTCCAATGAGAGGGGAGCTCACCATTCTCAGAACCAGCAACTGATCCCACCACAGAAAGCTTTCTTTCATTATAATACTTACCACATTCTACTTGTATCTTATTTTCCGGGGTGGGTTCTTGCCTTATCCCTGCTATTAAATTGGAAGGTGCTTGAGGGCAGGAATTTTTATTATTTATTTTGGTATTTCTTGCATTGCTTAACACAGTTCCTCATTCATATAATGCTAAATAAAAACCAGTTTTCATGAAGTAAAGTACTACTCACTATTGATGATAAACTTAATCTAAATATTCCCATATCACAAATCTAAATTGTTTATTTTTTCAAATATGATTGGTTATCTACTTTTGTCATCAGAGATTTTTTTTTTTTAATGGGCACAGTGCTCTATTTGCATGTTTCTCAATTCCTACATCTAGAAAATTTTTTTTTCTTGAGTTGGAGTCTCACTCTGGCACCCAGGCTGGAGTGCAGAGGCACATTCATGGCCACCCCAGCGTCGACCTGTTGGGCTCTGGTGATCCCTCTGCCTCAGCCTTCCAAGGAGCCGGAACTACAGGCATACACTACCGTGCCTGGCTAATCTTTTATTTATCGTAGAGACGAGGTCTCACCAAGTTGCCTGGTCTGGTCTCAAACCCGTGGGTTCAGGCAATCTACTTCCCTCGGCCTCCCAAAGTGCTGGGATTATAGGCTGAGCCACTGAGCCCAGTCAGAAAATTTTTATTTAATCTTACTTAATACGTTTTATCAGAACTTCAATTCTGAACCAGTTAATTTGACATTGTCATACTGGATAGACTAAATGTTCATTCATCAGCTGAGGAAAATTAATCTTGTAATGAAATCTTCATGAAGCCATTATAAAACTCTAATAGAAAAACACTACAAAGCAGCTCAGAAACCATTAAATCAGTCATGCTAAAATAAAGCACACTGAAAAGAAATTAACTTTTGGAAACTAAAGGTTCTTTGGAAAACCTGGAAGACTCTAAGATGGGAAGAGACTGCTATGCTTACTTTAAATCATGACATTCATGTTAGTTCAAAGACTATCTTAAGACAATTTCTCAAGTACAAACCCGAAAAACAACCCAACAGAATGTATTAAGACCAGACATAAATTAGTGAGTCAATGCAAAATATCCTCTACTAAATTCTGAAGAAAAATAAACAATGAACATGTAAGTTAATTTTGAGTGACCGTTGAGAAGGAGCCCAGGTCAATAAATGCCAAACCAACGAGCAAAACGTTAGATCAGAGCTTTAAGGTGATATGGGTGATGCGTAGTTTTGATCACCACCAATAACTGGGAAATGAAAACCAACGGTCAAAACCACACTGCCATAAAAGCAAGAATGAAAGGAAACAATATGACCTCACTGACTTAACAAATGTGCTACTTGAGAGCTACTTGGACAATACTGAGTATCTACTGCAGGACAAAAAAGTAGCCCTCTGTGTTAAAAATCCCTGCAAATGATACTCATTCTGATTAATTAGTTTTCCTGCCTTTAAAGACCATGTCATTGGCAAAGGGTGGGGAGAAGACAGGGGTTTCTGGTAGACAGAATAACGACTCCCCCAAAAATATCACGTCCTAAATCCTTGAATTCATGAATATGTTCCTCAAGTGGCCAGAGGGACTTAGCAGGTGTGATTCGAACCTTGAGATGGGGAGGTTACCCTGGATGGAGCAGGGCCTAGGAAATCACAGGGTCCTAGAAGTGGGAAAGGGACAACAAGGGGAGGTTCGTGTGATGAGATGCAGAAGCCCTAACAACCTCCTGTTGCTGGCTTTGAAACGGAGGGAGGAGCCAGGAGCCAAGGAATGCAGGCATCCCCCAACAGCTAGAACCAGGCCAGGAAACAGACTCTCCTCTGCACCCTCCAGAGAGAGATGCAGCCCTGCTGACATCCTGACTTTCACCTAGTGAGACCCATGCTGGATTTCCAGCTTATAGAACTGTAAGATGATCAATGTGTGTTATTTTCAGTCACTCATTTGTAGTAATTTGTTATGGCAGCAATAGGAAACTAATACAAGGGTAAACTGCTATGAAAATAATTCTCTGAAACAAACACAGAAGAATCCTCAAGTGCAGTGTGATGCTCTATAAAATACTCATTAAATACATACATTAAAACTTAGTTTGCATTACTAAGAAATATACCTGCTCCTCTGTTAAGGGCTAATGACACAACACTCAAAACTACATTTTATAAAAAGATTGAAAGTAAATATAATAAACTTTGATTAAAAAGTAGGGTTAGAAAACAAAACAGAACAAGATATTTTCAACCAAAGAAGAAGATGATAAAAATTAAGTAGGACAACTTGATATTCTTCACAGATAATATTTAAAAAGGAACCACAATAGGATCCTTTTGAATAGGTCAGCCAGAGGCAAAAGTTGGCATTTCTCTTAAAGTTCATGCTTACCTTATGATCCTCTGGGCAGCATACTGGTGGAGAGAACGAAACTGTGCCGACATGTTTGCTAAGGCTGCCAAACAATTTGTGTGAAGGTACTTGTCCTGTTAGAAAACAAGCGTTAGACACACATCAGTTTTTTTCTAGGCTTTAACCAAGGTCAACGAGAAGCAAATGTAAACTCATTGTCACTGATTTTAGAAAGGTCAGCTCTATGATCCCTCTTTTCTAATTTTCAAATCCATCAAGAACTAACTGAAAATTCAAAGACTTTTCACAACTCATTTGGGAGCAACTCAAAAAATTATGAGCCGGGCTCGGTGGCTCAGCCTGTAATCCCGCGCCTTGGGAGGCTGAGGTGAGTGGATTGCCTGAGCCCGCGGGCTCGAGACCCACCTGGGCAACTTGGCGAGACCTCATCTCTACAATAAATTTAAAAAAATCAGCCGGGCGTGGCAGTGCGCGCCTGTAATTCCGGCTACTTGGAAGGCTGAGGTGGAAGGATCGCCGGAGCCCAGCAGTCGAGGCTGCAGTGGCCGGGAGCGGCTACTGCACTCCAGTCTGGGCGACAGAGTGAGACTCCAACTCAAAAAAAGAAAAAAAAAAATTATGATGCTGCTGGTGGTCTTCACTGTTCCGACCATGGAGGATACTGAATTACTGTGCTGCAGAAATAGTAATACTTAATTAGCGTGTATTGTTTCAGACCATGATGGTTACACAGAGTATAGTATATAAACCACAATTCAAAAAATTCTCCATTCTAAAACACACCTGGCTCCTAGGGTTTCAGATTAAAAACAGAGACATATAACTACACGAGTGCCACCGAGGGAGATAACGGAAAACAGTTCAGTAAGCATGACTGCTTCTCTAGCTATGAATTCTGGATGATTCTATCGACCAGAACTAACATCTGCTCCCAGGTACTATGAAGGGAAACCAATAGAATTTCTTCCCTTACTTGTTGAAGTATTTTTTTTCTCTTCTACTTTTCCTTCCCATTTGGATTCTTTTTTTGCACTCACGTCAGTGCTATCAGTACAGAAAAGACACACAATACTGTCACCTAAGTGGCCTGTACTGCTCATTTTTCATTTCAGGTCAAATATCTTCCATCACACAATCCATTACATATCAAGATCAGACATTGTATTAGGGTCATCCCATACAGTGACTATGCACTGATCTGTATTTTTACATCGTATTTCATAAGAATTTTAGCACACTAAAATTCTGGATTGCTTTAAAGTCTTAATAGTACTGTATCCAAAGAGAAAAATAACTGTGGAATACTTACTCTCGTCCTTGTCATGTTGTACTGAATGGTTCTTATTACGACCAATATCAGGAGACTCCCCAAGGAAATTTCAGTTAAAACCCGTTCTGAATACCAAGTAATATTTTTTAATATCTGTAATGGGGAAGAAAAGATTAAGTAAAATGACTGCTTTGAGGAAAAAGGAATTACCCATATCCATAGTTTCTGCCAAGCCACAGCTCTGCACAGAGAGGCCAAGAGTGTGAGCCAGCTAATCTTCAACAGGAGATGCGTTCATGTTCTGATGTAGCCACACCCCAGCCCTAAGTAAGCAAGAACTGTTTTCTAAGTTAAACAGAGACATTTCCACAGTAGATGTATAACACAGGTATCAGAGAGAAAGAAAAAAACGCAGAAACACAAAAACTGGGCAGTACTGCAGCCAAATCTGGGCTGCCACCACGAGGGTGGTAAAATGTAAAACAAAACAAAACAAAATGTTCTCTTCCACTGAGGTTTCTTTACTCCTGCATCCTCTCTCCTTGCCTAGAGGAGTGTGAACATGCCATAGGCTTCCCTACCTATGCATGGAAAAGGAAGAGGCTTCTGGGTGAATTTTGCCCTCTTCACTAAGAAGTCCTCATCCACAGAAGAGAGCAGACCCCACCCCCATTCACAGCTGCCAAAGGGGTCCCACCACCTTCCAAAACAAATGAGTCTAGACTTGTGTTCATAATGACAAGTAGACAACAAAAACTACCCAAAAAGTGATCAAGTTCAACAGCTGGAGAGATGTTGAAACTAACAAGACTCTCTTCTAATTACCAGTGTATCTGAAATACAGAGGGCAGAACATGTTAAATAACTACTATGATGATATAATCAGCCAAAGACAAATGCAGGAAATTCCACTAAGCAAGTAAGTGGTGTCATAAGGCGAGGGGGTAAGAGGCAGCTACAGATTTACGAGTATTAAGAACTAAATGCAACAAGCAGACTCTGGAATCTGGTTCAAACAAATCAACTCTAAAAAGACATTTAAGAGAAAAGAAAATGAACTGGGTGTTAGAAGGGATTAAATTATTCTTGGTTTTGTTGGATGTGCTGATGGTATTACAGTTATATTTTTAAAAGTCCACACTTAACTAAAGCAACATACTAAAATATTTACAAATGAAATTATAGGTATGTTGTATACGGTTTCTTTTTATCAATACAAAACTACAGCCCAAATGTAAAAGGCGGTGAGTCAGGTGCACTGGGCAGATGAAGTAAGAACATCAGAGTGTTGATAATGGGAACACAAGAAGCCATGCTCCTTGTCTCCAATGATACTTAAGTTTCACAGTGTTCCTAGTAAAAAGCTTACCAATTAAACAAGTAAATAACACATTGTGAAACTGAATAGGCAGAGCAAACAGATCTCCAGCTAAACAAAGATGATTAAGGAAGCTGGAAATTTTGTTTAAAAATCCTAATTAGCTGTAATCCTAGCACTTTGGGAGGTCAAGGCGAGTGGATTGCCTGAGCCCGCAGGTTTGAGACCAGCCCAGGCAACTTGGCGAGATCACTTCTCTACAATTAATCAAAAACTAGCCGGGCATGGTAACGTGCATCCATAGTGCCGGCTGTGTGGAAGGCTGAGGTGGAAGGATCGCCAGGGCCCAGCAGGTTGACACTAGTGAGTGCGTCATTGCACTCCAGCCTGGGCGAGACTTCAACTTGAAAAAAAAAAGAAAAATTCTAATTAGCATATTTGGTGAGATTTGACAGACTATTGCATCCATAAAATAAGAACAGGTTGCTATGAATAGGGAAAGTCACAGGTTAAAGAAAAGCTGCTGAAGAGTAAAAATATGATGACTAAGTTTTAAAAGACAGAATTAGCAGAATGAGCACTATGGAAAATTAAATCTATGATTCAAAAGACCAAATCAAGACGTCCTCTACAGAAACTGTACGAGAAAAGTGGAGATCTAATGTCAACTTAAAAGTTCCAGAAGGAGCAGAGAGAGGAAAAACAGAAAAATTAGGAATATGCGAAATTACTTTGGAAGGGAAAAAAATTCAACATTCCAAGCAAAAATACTCAAAAGAAAAAAGAAGAAAAATCAAAACATTCAGGTAAGATTTATGAATTTACAGTATATGAAATAAATTCTACTGGCTTCCAGATGGAAGAAACATGTGGCCATCAGGTTAGAAGAAGTAGGCTAACACCGGAGTTCTCATCCTGGTCACGCTATATCCAAAGGGCAGGACACTGTCTAAAGATTTTTGAGGTAGAGATTATGATTCTACAATTCCACACCTAGAAAAACTACCACAAACGTATGTGGAAAATAAGGCCTTGGGTTTCCCAAACTTGGCATGACCCTTCTATGCACTATTTGTGGGAAGGAAACTGGTAGCACGCATGGACTCAGGAGAGCGGGATCATGGCCCACCGACAGCAGCAAGCACAACGGCCATCCATGAAACCCGGAGACACAACAAGACCGGGATGGTACAGCGGCTCCTTGGTTCTTCTAAAAGAGCGATAACACAGATCACTCTCGAGCAAGTCTGACCAGAAAAATTCCAAACACTCTTAGGAATGAGGTGGGGGTACAGAAACAGATACAAAGATTAAGAAAGTAAAGGAATGCCAGCCATGTCTAACCTCTGTATCTGTATCTGAAGGACACACATCCTTCCTTGGTTCAACTCTCCGGCAGGCCCATGTCCCCCAAAATCCCTATCACACGAGCCCTCCTGGCACTGCTCTGATCCTCCCCTTGGAGGCTGGTGCAGAACAAACACACCCTGCATGACAGTGGATACTGTTTGTGAACTAAAAAGTAAAAAAAAGTCACAGGGTGCAGTGGCTCTTGCCTGTCATTCCAGCACTTTGGGAGGTGGAGGCAAGAAGACTGCCTGAGCCCAGGGTTCTAGACCAGCCTGGGCAACATGGTGAGACCTTGTCTCTACAATAAACCCAAAATAAATAAATAAATAAATAAACCGAAAACATTAGCTGGACATGGTGGCATGTGCCCGTAGTCCCAGCTACTTGGAAGGCTGAGGCGGAAGGATCGCCTGAGCCCAGCAGGTCAAGGCTGTGGTGGACATAAACATGCTATGTCCAGCCTGGGTGACAGAGTGAGACTCCAACTCAAAAAAAAAAAAAGTAAAAAGATGTCAAAATGTAAACATTTCCATTTATTTATGACTAACAATGTTCTTAATCAAGTAGAAGAAATAACTAGGTATAAAAATATCAGTCACTGAAAAAGTCAAAGCAGTGATTTTCTCAGTAGAATTTTTAACAAGGGTGATATGCTCAGTACCTCTGACACATTCTCCAAGGTAGAAGTTTTCAATATGTGGTCCTGGGACAGAAAGAAGTCCCTGAAACATTTTTGGAGAATCCGCAAAGTCAAAACTATTTTCATGATAATACTAATGACACTGTTTCCTACTGGCATTCTCTCTTATGCTGAGTTCTCCAGAGACTACATGCCATGTCTTGATAGCGTAACAAACTGAACACGGAAGCGGCACGAGAATCTACTTGTCTTCTGTTAAGGCAATACATTTGCAAAAATACTAAACAATGCTATTATTCTCACTAATTATTTTTGTGTGGAAAATAGTAATTTTCATAAAAAATATGTCATTGATGCTAACGTGTAATGGGTTATTATTATTTTATAATGACCTAATTAAATATTCTTAAAATATGCCAGTTTTAGTTTCTAATATGATAAATGTAGAGAAATATAACCCATATAAAATAGCTCTTTGGAGTCCTCAATAATTTTTACATATAAAGACCAAAATGTTTGAGAACCATGGCTGTAAGTCTCCAAGGAAATATTAACATAAGACACTCATTGGGTAACTTTAGTAGTGAAGGAGTCTCTGTCTTTTTTTTTTTTTTTGAGTCAGAGTTTCACTCTGTCACCCAGGCTGAAACGCAGTGGCACACTTGCAGCCACCACAGCCTCAACCTGCTGGGCTCAGATGATCCTTCTGCCTCAGCTTTCCAAGTAGCTGGTACTACAGGTGCATGCCATCATGCCTGGCTAATTTTTCTTGATTTATTGTAGAGAAGAGGTCTCACTGAGTTGCCCAGGTTGGTTTCGAACCCCTGGATTCAGGCAGTTCTCTCACCTCGGTCTCCCAGAGTGCTGAGATTACAGGTATGAGCTACCACGCCCGGCCAGGTGTCTTTTAAAAGGATAAATATTTGATTAAATTGTTCCTTCACTCTTGGCTTCTTTGTCTAGAAATAAATGATCACAAGCTATCCTTATTTAAAATAGGTCATTAATCCTTATTATTCACTTGTGTGTGTCAATTATACAGCTAGATGGAGAAAGTGTTTTGAACAAAAGTAGTCTTATTCAATTAACATTCAACAAATAGTATCTGTAGGGTAAACTTATAATGTTACTATGCGAAGTAGAAATTCAATTTAGCATTTACACAAAGTTTTGTCTTTTCTTCCTGTGAAAAATATATTATTGTCTAGAAATTCTGGGTAGCATTTTAAGAAAAATTATAAAAAATCCATTATAGAGCTCACAGAGTTTCCCATGGGACATCAATACATAATTAACAGGCAGAATGCAGAAGATTTTCTTGGTAACCTAGTTGTAGTCCTTGACATATTTATTTAGTTCTTATAAAAACAATTCCTCATCGCTTACATTCAGTGTTCATAGGCTTCACACCTACAGACCATTACCACCCTGTTTATCATAATATATACACACATGTATGTATATACAACCACTTTATGCTAAAATAACTAATAGTATGCAGAAGGAAACCCCTTGAAGGTCTGAAAATGTCTTCCTCCTCAAAAAGTATCCAAGAATTGTTTGTAGTTCTAGGTCTTTTCTCCTTAAGCATTTTTACCCATATGATTTGCTTCTGTTGATTATACCTAGTCTATTTGTTATATATGACAGAGTAATATCTTTTAAAAATTAAATATTAATAAGAAAGTACAGAGAATAGTTAACACCCATACTCCCACAACTCATATTAACTGGTATTATCTACAGTTAATTTAATTTTTGTTTTTTTGAGTTGGAGTCTTACTTTGTTGCCCAGGCTGGAGAGCAGTGGCACACTCACAGCCACTCCAGCGTGGACCCACTGGG